AAAAAAAAAAAAAAAAAAGAATAGATGTTTTGTTGGGTTTCTTGGGCAAGTACTTGGGAGTAGAATTTCTTTTTTAAATTTTTATTGTGAAAATACCGTACAGAGGGGTTGCATGAGCAAGGTAATGAGTACATTTCTTATCAAGCATTGTTGCCTCCTCCTTTGTTTCCCCTTCCCATCCCTTCCCATCTCATACCTGCCCCCCCACCGGGAGTAGAATTTCTGGGTCACAGATACTGTATTCTAATGTGTGGGTATGAGGACTCCTTGCTGTTCAGACTTTGAAATGAAGCCTCCCTGACTAGACTGCCGGCGTCCATCTGGCCTACAGTGAGTGACCTTTGTGGGTGGTCAGTGCCTATCATGGTATCTATATCTCATGTGGCTCCTTTTCCCCAACACTGTGTCTTTGGACACAGCCCCAGTAGGGTTCACCTGGGATGTCCAGGTTTTACAGAATACTGGGAAAAATAGTGAGGTAGGAGGCAAGTCTTTAGGGGAGACATCGGAGAGCCTGGCCTTGCATAGAATGTAGCCACAGCTCTGTGCACTGTAGTGTGCTTAGTCTACGTGAAAGAACATGGTTCATTATTCGTTTAAAATGACTTGATGGTCTTGTCACAGTCTGAGCTCCTCCTGGCCATGGAACGGATTTACCATGGCCCTTAGTGGAGCTGCTCACTGGGAGGGGCACCCCATAAACCTGCACAGGCGGTGCTGTGATCCTCCTTAATCTGTCTGCACTGCTGGCTGCCTCAGGGCCACTGTTGTGGTGTGTGGTCCCCAGTGGTGACACCCAGCCCCACTGCCTAGGCCCCTAGGCTGCTGCTGGCACCTCAGCTGGCCAGGACCACCAGGATACGACTTGAAACCATCTTTCCTTTGGAAAGGAGCAGGGCATTTAGCCTCCTTCCCATTCATGCCATCTGCAGCCCCTCCTGTGCCTATGGTGTAGGGCTCTCTCATTCATTTGCAGAGTGGGTTCCCCTGGTGCTACTTGGTGCACCTGCACTGGGGTCTACTGATACCTTGTCTTCTCTGTTCTAGGGAGATCCAACTCTTGAGGCGGCTGAGACACAGGAATGTCATCCAGCTGGTGGATGTGCTGTACAATGAGGAGAAGCAAAAGATATATCCTTTCCCAGGGTGGGTGGCGGCAGGTGGGCTCCAGGGAGTAGAGAGCAGATGAAGGCCTCGCCTTCCCGGTCAGTCACCATACAGCCCTGCAGGCATCTTGAGTGCATCCCTTGTCAGATCCCTCAGCTGTCTTGGGCCAGTGAGCTATAGGGGCCTCCTCTGTGGGCCATCTTCTCATCCACGCAGGGCCAGGACACTGAGTGGCAACCTTAGCCTGGGTGTCCACTCTTTTGGGTTGTAGTCAAAGCCTGGCACATTGTATACATTTGTTTCTAGCTATCCCTATATATGTAATTTGGTTAGCACCTCAATGTAGGGATTCCTAGTGGAATCTCACAGCTCAGGGAGGGGCCACCACATGTTACCAGAGCCTGGCCTGCAAAGGAGAATCCCACCTCATGGTCTTCACATCTGGCCCTGGTTGTGGAAGGGGCGCTCTGGTACTCTAGGCTCATGGGACCTGTCCTGGTTGCAATTGTGGAACCCTGAACCCATTTGTTGGGTATATCCTGGGCCGTGAAGTTGAGATTATTTGTGGGGTATCAAGCAAAGTGTGTCATAGTCTGACCTTGAGTCCCAGGGAATGGAGACTTTCTCCTTTGTAGGAGTTGCTGAAGCCTCCCTGCAGGACTGGGTTGTTTTTTTTTTTTTGCCAAAGCAAGCCTGAACTAGCAAGTCCAGTTGTGGTCCATGTGTAGGCCCAGCGCTGCCCAGAGATGGCCCTTCTGAGTAGGTAGGGTGTGGTCATGAGGGGCCTTGGTCTCTCAGAACTTTATACTCTGCCCCAGGCATGCTGGCTTGCTCCAGGGCCTCTCTAGGACACAGGTGGCAGGCTATCTCTCCTATGTGGCACTGCCAAAGCTCCCAGGATTTGGTCTGTGGAGCAGGGTGGCATTGCCCGTGGAGCCATATTTCCTTAGCACCCCACGTATATGGTGATGGAGTACTGTGTGTGTGGTATGCAGGAGATGCTGGACAGCGTGCCTGAGAAGCGGTTCCCCGTGTGCCAGGCCCACGGGTGAGTGGGGCTGGACCCGAGGGCCAAGCTACCCACAAGGGCCACCAGGCCTTGGGTAAGCCAGCCCACGTTCACACTGGTTTTTGATGGTCATCTATGTAAAGCCCAGGTGTTTTTAAAATTGTTGTGTGTGTGCTGGTTCTTGGACTTGAACTCAGGGCCTTGCACTCCCACTCAGCTTTCTTATTCATGGCTGGCATTCTTTACCACTTGAGCCTTATCTCCAGCTTGATATTTTGCTGGTTATTTGGAAATGGAGTCCTGGAGATTTTTCAGCTTGGGCTGATTTGAACCTTGATCCTCCAGATCTCAGACTCCTGAGTAATTGGATTATATGTGTGAGCCACTGGCACCTGGTTTTAAAGCAAATTGAAAGTAGTACCCTGTGTCCAGTACCCATAGTTCAACCATGCAGAGCCCTTCCCACCTGTCAGGCCCTGTGTACGTACTGCCTTGAGGGAAGCTGCTGTGGTTTGGTATGACCTGCTGGTTGTTGGGAATTCCTTGGCAGTGCCCTGAGCAGCCCTCTTAAGTGCAGCAGTTGGGACCTGGGGTTGACTGTCTGGGAGATGGGAATGGGCTCACTGTTCTAGGGGAGACTATAAGGTTCATGTGGTCCATTTAAGGGAGAAGTGAGGTTATAGGGGCTCCTGTTTGGCAACAGTGATCTCAGTCTTGGCCATAAGTAGGGGCTCCACCTTGGCCAGTGACCCTTTGTGGTTCCCAAGTGGGGCCCAGCCTTGACCTGTTTGTCTGGACCTCAAATGACTGCCCCCCATGGCTGCTTGTGAGGCTCATTTAGAAGAACTTGTCTTGAGCAGCTTTTGCACAGAGGGGCCCTGGGAGGCTGGGAAGTCAGAGCAGGGCCCGGACACAGGTGTGCCTCACTTGTAGGTACTTCTGTCAGCTCATTGATGGCCTGGAATACCTGCATAGCCAAGGTATAGTGCACAAGGACATCAAGCCTGGTAACCTGCTGCTCACCACCAGCGGCACGCTCAAGATCTCCGACCTGGGCGTTGCCGAGGTAGGCGCCTGTCCCTCGGGGGTCTCAGGGTGTGGGCCCTCCTGGGCGCTCCCTGAGGGCCGCATGGCACTGCCGCAGGCCCTGCACCCATTTGCCGCTGATGACACCTGCCGGACAAGCCAAGGCTCCCCGGCGTTCCAGCCTCCTGAGATCGCCAATGGCCTGGACACCTTCTCTGGGTTCAAGGTGGACATCTGGTCAGCCGGGGTCACGCTGTAAGTGCCCTGGACCCCGGTCCCAACATGCAGTGAATGTGGCCCAAGGGAGTACCATGTTTCTCTGGTGCCTATAGGCCCCACTGATGTGGCCAGCAGTTCAGAGCCTAAAGCCACAGGGTGGGTGTCCAGTCATTTTGCTGAGCCATGCCACTTGTGGGTGTGTGGCCCCACGTGATTTGCTATATTCAAGGACATGTAACACCACAACCTACCAATTCCTACTATTCCCCCCCCCCAAAAAAAAAGAGTCATCCAGGGAGGGTGGCTTTAGTAAAGGGTATTGTTCCAGTGGATCTAAGGGACACTTTCCTCCTGAGCGATTTCCTGCTTCTGGGAAACTGGCCTGTCTCAGAGTCTACAAGGACCCGGCTGACAGCTACACTAGGGAACTCAAGCGTGCTGCTAACTTCTGACCCCCTCCTCTTTCCCCTTGGGCATGAAGTTACAACATCACAACGGGCCTGTACCCCTTCGAGGGAGATAACATCTACAAGCTATTTGAAAACATCGGGAAAGGGGACTTCACAATCCCGGGCGACTGTGGCCCCCCACTCTCCGACCTACTCAAAGGTGAGATTCTTGCTGGCCTATGGCCCAGCATGGGTCTCAGTTGTATGCATCAGGAGTATGGTGTGCTGCTGGTGATAGCAGTTAGAAGCAAAGGCCTCACGATAATCCCAGCAAGTGGCTAGGATCCTGATGTTTCCCACCATTGCCCTTTTTGCCGTTCTGCTGTCATACAGCATCCCCTGTGGCCTTGCTGCAGAGTGACTTGGCTCCCAGTTGGGCATGGACAGTAGCAGGGGTGGGTTGGTAAGCCCACCTGCAAGCCTGGCACCCCTGTGTGTGCAGAGCTGGTTGTTCCAGCTCTGCTGCCTACTCTGGGGCCTCAATCTCAGGGCAGAGCCTCTGGAGGCATTGGCTGCTCTGCCTGCTACATTAGGTCTTTTTTTTGCCAGTCGTGGGGCCTGAACTCTGGGCCTGGGTGCTGTCCCTCAGCTCTTCAGCTCAAGGCTAGCGCTCTACCACTTGAGCCACAGCGCCACTTCTGGCTTTTTCTGTTTATGTGGTGCTGAGGAATCGAACCCAGGACCTCATGCATGAGAGGCAAGCACTCTACCACTGAGCCACCTTCCCAGCCCCTACATTAGGTCTTTCACACTCAGTTTCCTTGGTGTTCCTGCAGGGTCTGAAGGGCTTCTCAGTGCTGCATTCCTTGGCCTCTTTTGCACCAGCCACCCTGCTCCAGTAGAGGCCAGGCTGGAAGTGTACTGGTGCTTTAGGAATATGGGATATGGACAGATGGTTAGCTGTCCCTAGCTGTCCAGTCCCGTGGGCAGGGTTGTCCTTTTGAAGGGTGGCATGTTGAAAGCAGAGGTGGGATAACCACTAAAGGGATGGGAGCTGGGGGCCTGAATGTGGTGCTAACCCAGTCCTGCTGCTCTCCACAGGGATGCTGGAGTATGAGCCGGCCAAGAGGTTCTCCATACAGCAGATCAGGCAGCACAGGTGTGTGTCCTCGCCCTCCGCTCTCAGTTTGCAGGAACAATGGTCCAACTGGGTAGCATTGACTAAGGGGGACTAATGGAAGGTGGGTCTCTGGCCACATCTTGTTCAGATCCATAGTGCCTGTATGGGGGATATAGGCAGTGTCCATTGCTTGCCTGTGTAAGCCCCAAATATCTTAGGATTTTGGTGGGTGCATGCAGAGTGTGCCTTCCTTTCTTCCCCCCTATGTCTTCTAACAGTGCCAGCCATATGTCTGGACATCCAAGCCCAAAGTGGGAAGAGTAGAGGGCAGGCAGGGATGAAAGGACCCTGCTGGTGCTGCCTCCCCAATCCTGGGCTCATGTACCCCAAATCCAGAGGCAAGAATGGCACCAGCATGCCAGGTGCGGGGACTCATATTTGTAATCCTAGCTATTCAGGAGGTTGAGCTCTGAGGATTGTGGGTCAAAGCCAGCCTGGGCAGGAAAGTCCATGAGACTCATCTCCAATTAACCACCAGAAAACCGAAATGGCACTGTGGCTCAAGTGGTAGAGCACTTGCCTTGAACTGAAGAGCTCAGGGAAAGCACCCAGGCCCAGAGTTCAAGCCCCACAACCACCACCATCACCACCACCAACAAAAGAATGGCACCAGTGTGCATCTTGGGGTCTGGAAAGCTGGGCAGGGCTGTGTTTGGGAATTTGGGATGACTGTGTACAGGTCAAGGGCCTTGCTGTAGCTCCGAGGGCTATGAGTGAACATTAGGGCACAGCTGAATGGCTCCCAATGGAAATTCCAAGTAAGTGGACAGTCATTCATTGAGGGTTAGGTGTGTGGGACTCCCCAAGCTTCCTCAGATAATGCTGGGGTAAGCACTGTTGTACCCATCCTTCATTGACACTCCCAACCTCAGCTGGCAGGAGCCCTGTGTCCTCAGAGGTCAGGGCTTTGAACTGATGGAATCGGTGTGTTGGAGGGAGTGCTGGAGCTGCTTGCAGGTTTTCAGTGCCTGTAGACAGCCCTTGGGCACTTTGGGGGCCAGGCTCAAGATGTACATACTCAGGCCCAGGGCTTGCCCTTTTCCTGGGTGGAGTCTGCCCCCCGCCCTCCTGAGGGAAGGGCTTCCAGCAGATCATTCACACCCTGCCACCTGCCAGCAAGAGTTGAGCCCTGGGTATCCACAGACAGCCCACAGAGCCCATGGGCTTATATCAGTAGTTACAATTAAGGTTTCTAGCATTTATATAGATGTGAGGAGTTAGAACAGGTCCTCCTGAGGCCACATGCTCACAGCCTAGGTGTCCAGCTCCTGAAGATGGCCCTCACCCTGCCCAGCCTTGGGTTTTCCAGGCCAGAGACAATCTTGTCTGTCCAGACGCCCTATTGCAGTAGAGATAGAACTTGAGTATGGCTGAAGGATATCAGCAGCCAAACGGGGTCCAGTATTCTAGTCATAGCCACCCTGGTGTGTAGCATGGTTCCTGGCTCCTACATGAGCAGTGGGCCCCAACGGTCACCCAGGAGCCTTTCTGATATGCATCACTACATCTGGGCTTTTGTAGTTGGTTCCGGAAGAAACACCCTCTGGCAGAGGCACTTGTGCCCATCCCACCGAGCCCAGACACCAAGGACCGGTGGCGCAGCATGACAGTGGTACCTTACCTAGAGGACCTGCATGGCCGTGCCGAGGATGAGGACGACGACCTCTTTGACATCGAGGATGGCATCATATATACCCAGGACTTCACTGTGCCTGGTGAGCCGGCAGAAGCTGCAGTCATGGGCCCCGATATCCTTGGAGCAGGCCCCAACCTCGTAGTAGATTGTCCTTGCAGGCTCCAGCCCATTAGGGGCTGGTCTGGCTGGGAGGGCTTCCTAGGCATCCAACTCCAGGTGCTGCCCAGAATCCAGCTTCTTTCTCACTCCTGCTGGATAGTGAACAGGTGCAGGGCCCTCAGCCAGACCTGTGAGAGGGTCCAGAGGCCCTCCCTCCCGCCCCTTTGCCCTGACCATGTGTTGCCCTTACTTCCCCAGGTGGCGAGGAGACATCTGAGGCAGGGCTTAGCGAGGAGAGATTCGCGCAGAAGAGCCAGGGTGCAGACCTTTCTGGAGAGGAAGCTGAGGCGGCAGGCACTGCAGTGGTGCCTGAGGAGGAGCTCGAGGCCTTAGTATAGAGCAATCGGGCCACCACCCATTGGCACACACACACTCTCCCCCTCCCCGCAGTGGTCCTGCTGTCCTTCTGCTATAAAGCTTTGCCCCGCTGTGTGTCTCCAGGTGGATGTTTGCTACAGCCTGGGACCTTCCCCAAAGTCCTACATGGGGCTGTTACCCAGAGCAGGACTGAAAGAGCCTGCGAAGGCGAGCTGAACAGGAAGGGTGGGAGCTGTGAGCCAAGGTGTGGGAGGTGGTCATTGGCTAGGGAAGGGTGCCAGAATGTCCTAGGCCCTGGGGATCCCAGTGTTCTGTGTCCTTCAAGCCAGCTTGGCAGCCCAGCAGCGTCTGGGCCCCTCAGTCTCCTTGAGTGGTGGAGCTCTTGATAGCTACCATCTCTTTTTTTTTTTTTTTTTTTTTTTTTTGGTCAGTCGTGGGGCCTGAACTCTGGGCGCTGTCCCTCAGCTTTTCAGCTCAAGGCTAGCGCTCTAACCACTTGAGCCACAGCACCACTTCCGGCTTTTTTCTTTTTGCTTATGTGGTGCTGAGGAATCGAACCCAGGGCCTCATGCATGCAAGGCAAGCGCTCTACCACTGAGCCACCTTCCCAGCCCAATAGCTACCATTTCTTAGGAGGGCAAGTTGGGTAGGCGCCCCAGTGTAGGGCAGAACTGAGCCCTAAAGCAGGCAGAGGCAGGCCCCTGAGACTATGAGGACATTCCAGGCCCTTCCTGGGCTCCTATCAGATGGTTGCCAGCCATTTCCTTGGGGTCATGGGGGCAGGCATGCATGATAGGGCTGTGCTAGAACATGTCTGCTCTGGCATGTAGCACAGGCCCTGGTTACAGGCAGGCCTTAGGTCTGAGATCCACACCTGTCTTTTCATAAAGTGGGGGGGAAGGGCTGCCTCTCAGATCATGAGGATACCTGTCAGGGGCCCGGGTATTCTGTGCTAGGTTAGACACATGATACCTCTGAGGTATCTCCCACTTCCCCTTCGTTTCCTATAAGCTAGGCCCCTTGAGATGGGAGCTGGTACAGGGTACCTAGCAACAAGCCTCTGGCTTGATATACGTTTGTTTGCAAGGACACTGTTTCTGCCTAGGACCCTTCAGTCCCCAGGTTCCTCCAGCCTGCTTTAACTTGAAGAAGGTGAGCCATGCAGGGATGGTCAGGTCTGGTCCCTTAATTCAAATGGAAATCTTCCTCCCCACTTGGTTGCAGGGGTGCCAGATTGGCTCTAGAGACATTGAAGCTATCAGGTGCCTTATTGACTGGGTCAGCTGGTCCTCTTAGGTGCTCCTCATAGCTATGGTGGTGCTCATATGGGGTAGCTCAACTGCCCCACTGGGGATGGGTTCATTTTGGCTTCTTATGTCCTCAAGGACAAGCCATAAGGTAGGGTCAAGGTTTTCAGGCAGGACAAGGGACTCCACCCCTGGGTGGAGCTCAGGCCTGAAGAGACCAGCTGTGGGGTTTATCCTATCCTGGTGTTTGACTTTCATGCACACTAGCTCAGCCCAAATCGAAGATGAGGTGATGCCTCATTACCAAAGCTGTCTTTCTACACAGACATGGTCTGTGCACAAGGTGGGTGCATGGCAAGTTCTGGAAGCTGCTGAGTTAGGAGGCATTGATCCCTCCCAGGCATGGCTGTGTATTGGGCCCAAGAGCTGGAGGTGGAGTGGCTTATGGGATGTCACAACTGTGTCTCCTGCCTGATAGACTTACTTTCTTTTCTTTTCCTTCCCTCCCTTCCTCCCCCCTCTCTCTTTCTTTCTTTTTTCTTTCTCTTTCTTTCTCTTTTTGTCAGTTGTGGGTCTTGAACTCTGGGCCTGGGTGCTGTCCCTGAGCTCTTCAGCTCAAGGCTAGTGCTATACAACTTGAGCCACACCACCACTTCCAGCTTTTTCTGTTTATGTGGTACGGAGGAATTGAACCAGGGCCTCATGCATTTGAGGCAAACATTTTACCACTGAGCCACATTCCCAGCCACCCCTCACCCCCTGCCTGATAGACTTTCTAGAGAATATCCTGCCATTTCCTTACAACCAATGTGAAGACAGGGTCCAGCCAGGCAGGGTGAGCCAGGGACCCAGGATATTAGGCAGGGTTGGTGGCTGTGGAGGCTGGGTAGAAGGCCCTGTTGATACACAGGTCAAGCAAGTACTTCATCCCCAGGGGACCTGTGCTGGGCATGTGGAGCCCAGCTTCTCCTGTACCCTATCTAAGGTGAGATTCCGTGTCCTGTGTACCAGGTTGGAGGGCATGCAGGTGGCCCAGGCCCACCACAGGCATAGATACCCATGGCACACACCAGAACAGGCCAATGGTGCCTGCAGCTTTCCCTCTACTGCATTGCAGTACCTGAAGACAAGACCCATACAGTACCACCTGGGGGCCCAGGCGGGTGCTGCACATGGTCTGCAGAGGGGGTTTCCTCAGGCTGTTGTGGGAAGAACCTGGCCTGGCTGGATAGAGGGTCATCCTGGAGCTGCTAAGAGACAGCACCTGAGGATGGAGAGGATCTGGGATATTTGGGCTTGGCGGGAGTGGGGTCCGGAGGGGGGCAAAACCAGGCCAGGGGCTCTGAGTGGCACTGTTCCTTGGGCTCAGGTTGTCCTTGCCCTCTTCCTCCTAGGACAGGTCCTGGAGGAGGAGGCCAGTCAGAATGGACAGAGCCACAGTCTGCCCAAGGCTGTGTGCATGAATGGCACAGAGTCTGCACAACTGAGCAGCAAGTCGAAGGCCGAGTGCCGGACTGGTGCCACCTACTCTGCCCGTAAGGCCTGTGCCAGCAGCAAGATCCGACGGCTATCAGCCTGCAAGCAACAGTGAGGGTGCCGCCTGCAGGTGGGCATGGGCCTAGTGGGGGGAAAACAACACTGGGCCCTAGTGCCTCCTGGGGTACACACGCAGATTCCAGGCCTGTGTTGTTGGTGAGCATCCCTTTTGCAGAGGTAGTGTCTACCCTGACCTAGACTCACCAGCTCACAGCCCTGAGGCCAGGCCTGAGAGGGAGTGACCATAGTCATTTAAATCTACAAAACCCATAGCAGGGCTCTACTGTGGCTTGCCCTTCATTAACAGCCCAATCGTGGCTAATGGGATCTACCTCATCCAGCCACACCAGTGCCTCATATGCCCCAGGAGAGAGTTGTGTGGGTGGCAGGTGGCAGCAGCTCTTCCTGGCTATTCTTGGAGAGCTGCCTGTCCACTGGGGTCTGGTGGGACTGAGTCATGCTGGATCCCTGTCCTGTTAGCCCTTCCTATGTGCCTGTCCCTCCAGAGAGCAGGAAGTAGTTTGAAACCATGCCCAACCAAATCCTTTTTCCTGGTTGTGGGGCCCACATCCTTGTAGTACACACAGGCCTATGGTGGTCACCTGTATCAAGAGCCAGGCTGGCAGGCAGCGGCTGCCAGTCACTTGACTCTGGCCTCCCTGATGTCCTACCCAATGGGGTCCAGGAGCTTGACAGCTCCTATTACCCAGGTCTTAGCTCCTCCAGGACAGAGGTTGAGAGTCCCAGAGTGACCTGTCTCTGTCCTCATACCTGCAGCCTATCGCCAGGACTCCCCACCAGGTGCCACCACCCAGGCCCTCCTCAGTCTTCCTGCAGGCTCTTGGCCCACCGCCCACCTTCGAAGGTGGCCACCATGCCTCTGTGCTGACTGCTCAGGACTTCAGGAGCACAAGGGTCAGGCAGGGGCGCAACAGAGACCCAGGCCCAGCCCAACCCTCAGCTGCCGGCGCACAGCACCCCCCCACAGTGGACAGGACTTGACCCTGCAGTCCTGTGAGGAGCCTTTCCTACGCAGGGGAGGGGGAAGCCTGGCCTCCGAGATGCACTTTATGTTTAGACTACTGGCTCTCCACCACCTCCATGGTGGTCTTCATTGCTGTTAGGGCCTTCACACCTGCTGACAAGTGGGGAATGCTCAGCCAGACAGCTGGAGGAGACCAGACCTCCTGTCAACCGCCTTGCATGCAGAACTGCTCGAGGGAGCCTTGGCTGCCTTGTTTTTGTTTGGTTGGTTCCTTTTTTTTTTTTTTCCTTTTTTTTTTTAATAAAACAGGTGGATTTGAGCTATGGCTGTGAGGGTGTTTGGAAACTGTTTGGGAGTCGGGTGGGTGGGTGAATGAATCAGCGATCCCCAAATGCAGTGCCTCTATAGGTGGATATTCTTCCTTGCTCTGCTCAGCTGGGCCTCTAGCTCCTTGGTGAACCCCCACCTTTATCTGGCCTCCTAGAGGTCCAGTGGCCCACCCTGACCCTTTCTCCCTCCAAGGCCACTTGTGGTCTTTGATCACAAGAAAAACCAGACCAGCAAATGTGCAGTAAATACTTATAATCAACAAGAAAACAAATACACAACAAACTTCCATCACTGGATGGTTACATATTAGGCAGAAAGCTTCAAGGGGCAGGATGGGCACTTGGCTATGGGCAAGGGCTGCCCCATCTTTTGGCAATAAATAAAGTTTGGGAAACTTGAAGCCTTGCCGCCTGGGCTGTGTTTTATCCACTTTGAAACACTTAGCCCCAGCGGCTTCACAGAAGGGATGGGATGAGTCAAGGACAGGGCACTGTCCACATGCATTGGGTGGGCACAAGATACACACAGGGAGGAGCCGTGTCCAGGGCCCAGAGGTTCCTTGTAGGGCCAGATAGGGGCCATAGTGGCAGCAGCAGCAGCAGCAGCATTGGCGGTGGCAGACACGGTTATTGCTCGGAGTGGGAGGGGGCTCAGGCTGCCATGAACACACACCGTGGATTAGTGAGGTAAACAGCTTTCAGTGGTTGGCATCAATCTCCCTCTTGGGTTCCCTGCCTTGGCAAGCCCATGCATGCACCTAGCAGGCAGCTGGTGCCCCTCTTTGAGGCTCAGTAGCCCCCCCAAAGGGATATGTGTGTATGCCTCAAGACTCCTGGTCCTCAACAGCCTGAGATTTTGTGCTGTGTGTGTGTGTGGCAGCCATTTGCTGCCTAGAACCAAGGGCAATCAAATGCTGTCCTTGGAAGCCTGATAAGAACTTAGCAATCCCCCTCCAGCAAAGCCAGAGTCTTGAGCTTCGCACCTCAGGATGCCACTGAGACCCACTAAGCACCCAGAGGACCTGGTGGTATTTGTGCTCACCAGGAGGGTGCAAGGTCAGCAGGAAGGCTGTATGCGGACTCACTTGGGCCGCAGAGGCTGGCACAGGACTGTGCCCTTGCACCCGAGGCCGCTCAAGCGCCTGGGCTGTGTGCATGCGCCTGGTGAAGGGTCCTTGCAGTTCTCCTGTGTGCACCGGCTCGCCCCGAGGTCCAGTCCGTCCCGCCCTGCCACTGCCACGGCTCCACTGGGGCCGAAGAAGCTGCTGAGAGGTGGGTTGGGGGCACAGGGCTTAGGCTGGACTGTGGTCAGGGGAGGTGGGGGCTGCAGCCACAACCAGTGCCTGGGCTGCCGCCACAGACTCTGCTGCCAGGTGTGTGGGAAAGAGTCTTTCCTCGAGACCAGCTGCTAGCTTGTCCAGCAGTGCCCCTGAGGGCTCCATGCACAGGCCTGCTCCAGGGCAGCCCCCACCCGGCTCCTCCTCGATGACCGGGATGGCAGGGTCGTCCCCTGTGCTGGTCAGCGCTCGGCCATCTGGTGGGCAGTCGACACTGTCACCACGGCGCAGGGGTGCACGTGCTGGCCGAGGCACACCAGAAGGCGGAACTGGGGCTCCAGTGGGCGGAGCTGCACGTGCACCCCCAGGGTCACTGTGCTGCCGACCACGTTGCCACTGCTTGCGCGCATGCGGGTGTGCGCGTGCGCGGTGTCGCATAGCGGCTGGGGTGTCATCAAAGTGCGGGTCATGGCGCAGAAACTCATGGAAAAGCGCATCTGTCTTCTCGTCAATGCTGTAGTCGCGGCGGGGCCGACGTGGCCAAGCTCGTGGGCTGCGGGGTGGACTGCGTGGTGGGACAGGGAAAGTGGGCGGCTCAACCACATCATCTCCCACGCCTCGGCCCTCGATGCTGGCGTAGCCACTGTCCATCTGCAATAGGCGACGCCCTTCACCCTCTTTGGGCCGTGACGTGGGTGGTGAGGGCGGTGGGAAGGTGGGCGCCGCACCTCCAGAGCCTGAGCTATCCCCGCTGCGCACAGAGTCACGGTCGTTGCCACTGCTGCTATGGTCCGAGGCGGTGGCTGCATGCAATTCAAGAGAGGCACGCAGGCTCCATAGGTCGCGATAGCTAGCCTGGGTCTGCTCGGCGTCCGACTCTTGCTGTTGCTGCTGCTGCTCAGGCCCCGAACCGATGCTGCGCTCTGGGGGGGACTCGGGGCTCAATCCTCCCGCCGCCTGGGCCGCCTCTAGCCTGTAAGCCACCCCGTGGCTGTCAGAGCTTGCCGGCCTCGTCCCCTCCCCACTGGCCACCCACCTTTGGATCACCGACCCTCAGGATTGTACTGGTCTGCCAAGCTGGTGCAAGTCCCCAGTAGGTGCTGGGGCTGTAATGGCTGGCTGTACCCACAGCATCCCCTCTTTCTAGCTTCCTGGACATGGATGCCACAGGGGATGGATGGACTGGGATACTATGACTCTAGTCAGGCTGCCCCCTACCCATCTGTTATGGGCTGACAAGACTGAAAGATGTATAAGGCTGGAGCTGCCCAAGCTTGAATGGCACCTTGCTATTCTCCCCCTCCCAGGCCTTCATCCCACTGGCTTGGGCTTGGGACTTTAGGATAGTGCCTTTGGGTCATAGCAGTTTCTGAGAAGGGACTGCCCATCTTTCAGGAGTGTGGGCAGGTGAGAGGGGGCCTGGGGCCACCAAAGAGCCCTTAAGGCTGTGGAATCTATGCTGAAGTGGCAGCACTAGGGTGGGCACTAGCCCATGGTGGCCTGGCCTGGGCAGGTGTCTCATTCTAGGGGCCCTAGGGCCTTTGTCTGGGACCACACCTGCCCATCTACCCTTACCCAGTGTCTCCCTGCTTCCCTCCTCCGGTCCTTGCTGGAGAGGTGGCCCCCAGGCCGCCAGGGGGAGGCGTGTCCACAGGGCCTGGAGGGTGCTCCCTGGGCCACCTAGGGGGAATGGAGTAGGGAAGGGGCCCACAGGCCCACCCCTAGCACCTCTATCTACTGAAAAATACCTGCCGAGAGCGGGGGGCGGGCTGGTGGGGCTGGCCAGAAAGGGGCGGGGGTGTGGGAAGGCCATGGCATCTCCGGCTCCAGCAATGTACTGGATGAAGTCGGCATGGGGGGCATCCCCCTCTTGCTCCATGCTTTCACTGGCTGCCCGCTGCCGCTGGAAGTGGTGGCGCTTGGGGGAACCTGTGCAGGGGAAGGTCATTAGCCTGCTGTGCTTCTCTAACACATCCAAGTCCAAGCCTTGGACTTGCTACTTGAACTGGGGGAGCGTGGAAGCTGAAGTGCAGGTGAGCACAGTAAGGCAGAGGGACCCCAGGTGAAGTAGTGCCCAGAGTAGTTCTGGCCAGACAGACACCTGATAGCAGGCTTAGCCCATCTCCAAGTGTGGAAGAGTAGAGCTAGGGCTGGTGGGCACTAGGAGGAAAAGAAGATACCTAGTTCAGGCTGCACCCTGGAGGGGGGGAGGAGCATGCGCAGAGGGAGGGACTGCCCCACCCTTGCCCATGGCCCCAGGCCATCAGTGTAGGCAGGCTTCAGAGCAAACAGGTTCTGGACCTGTGTAGCTGCTGTGACTATTATTACAGCCAGGATCAAGGCTGTCTCAGAACCTGTCTCCCAGATTGAACAGGGCAGCAGAGTGGGCTTCCTTTCAAAACCCAGCTAGGAGCCACTAGTGACTAGAGCAAGTGTTTTCCTGCCTTCTTCTCAGTGGGCACTTAAAACTGTCACCAGCTAGTCATTCTCTGACACCTATTACCCATTCCCTAGGTCAAGTCTGGAGGCCTTTGCTAATGTGACCTGCCACCACAACCACCTTTCATAGGGCAGTAGACACCCAGGCCGGCCAGGTGAGTGAGGTTCCCTAAGCAGGAATGATGATTGCTGCCTGTGTATAGATGGGGTCCTTTTCTTCTCCCTCACCCCCACAGGGCCCTGCTTCGGGCTGGAGATAAGGAAGCCCTGTCCTGAAGGATCAGGAGGGTGCTACTCACAAGCCAAGTAGATCCTGTCTTTGTAAATAAAGCTATACATTATTTACCTATATGAACAGGTGTTTCCTACTTAAAATAGCAGTTTGAGTTAATGACTGATTACAAAAACCAAAAATACTACTACCTAGAAACTTACTTAAAAAAAAAAAGTTCAGGGCTGGGAATGTGGTAAGAGTGTTTGCCTAGCATGCATGAAGCCCTGAGTTCAATTCTTCAGTACCACATAAACTCAAAAAGCCAAAAGTGACATTGTGGCTCAAGTGGTAGAGCTCTAGCCTTGAGCAAGAGTATCCCAAGGGCAGTGCCCAGGCCCTGAGTTCAAGCCCCAGTTCACCTGTACCAATGGCTCATGCCTGTAATCCTAACTACTCAGGAAACTGAGATTGGGAGATCACAATTCAAAGGCAGCCTGGGCAGGAAAAAAGCTGGATGTGGAGCTGTGGCTCAAGTGCTAGAGTTCTAGCCTTGAGCAAAAGAAGGTCAGGGAGAGTGCCCAGGCCCTGAGTTCAAGCCCCAGGACCAGCACACACAAAAACAACAGGAGTGGAGCTGTGGCTCAAATAGTAGAATGCCACCCTTCAATGAAAAGGCTACGGGAAAAAGCTGGGCACAGGTGGCTCACGCCTGTAATCCTAGCTACTCAGGAGGCTGAGATCTGAGTATCATGGTTCAAAGCCAGCCCAGACAGGAAAGTCTGTGAGACTTATCTCCAGGTAACCACCAGAAAACCAAAAGTGGCACTATGGTTCTAATTGGTAGAGTGCTAGAAAAGCTCAGGGATGGTGCCCAGGCCCTGAGTTCAAGCTCCAATGCCAAAATAAGAACAAAAAAATGTTCTAAGCAAGGTGCCAATGGCTCATGCTTTTAATATTAGCTACTAGGGAGACTGAGATCTGATTATCCCAGTTTGAAGTCAGCCAAGGCAGACAAATCTCATTTCTTATCTCCAGCTAACTAGCAAAAAGCTGGAAGTAG